TAATTGCTTGCTTGTATTTATTTATTTATTTATTTAGTAAGTCTATGAACATTAATTCTTACAAACTAGTGGAGAATTAGGATGCAAATTAGAACTCTAAAAAAACTAAATTACAATTACATAAATAGATAACTTAAATTAAAAAACAGAATTGAGGGCATTAATGAAGGATACCCTAGAGTGCGAAAAATCAAGAAGAACTTTCCCGGAAATCGAGTTAAACTCACGCATAGCACGCTTGAGAGGAGCATATTCACAAAATTAGTACTTTCTTTTTTATAATAAAATGGGTAAATAGATCTGCGACAACGCTGAGCAGTATTGAAGTTAATTTTCCCTAATAAATAGGGACAGTCAATACTTCCATTAATTACATTGAAAACAAATGAAAGGCAGAGAACGGACCGTCGATTATCTAGTAATTTAAGATGTAAAAGCAATAAACGAGATGTATACGATGGTGTGGGGTCGTCAAAATTTAGGGAGCGGAGGGCAAATTTAAGAAAAATCTTTTGAACACGCTCGATCCTATTAATTGCCGATATGCAATATGGTCTCCAAATGAACACTGCGTACTCCAAAATGTACCGAACAAAACATGTATACAGTAACTTTAACGTGTAGGGGTCGGAAAAATTTAAAGCATTGCGACGGACAAAGCCGAGTACAGAGAATGATTTAGAAGTGATATAGTTGATGTGATTACTGAAAGAAAATCGGTTTTCAAAGATTACCCCAAGGTCTTTGATATCAGTAACACATTTTAGGACGCAATTAGAAATGTTGTAACTTGTGGATAAGGTGTTAAGTGCCCTATAAGCCCCAGATGTTATGTGCCCATAAGAGATCTGAGAGCATTTATCTAGATTGAGAAAAAGCTTCTATTTCAGGCCAAAATCAAGCTCAACGTGAAAGTTTGAATATATCTTGTGGATTTTTGATTGTTGCAAAAATTTTTAAGTCATCTGCATATAACAGAAAGTTAGCGAAAGAGAAGCAACAGGAAATGTCATTGCTAAACAGCACAAAGAGAAGTGGACCCAAGACGCTTCCTTGTGGCACTCCCGAAGACGCAATGAATGAATCAGATGACACTCCATCAACGCTGACAACGCAACGTCTATTGTGCAGATATGATTCAATCCACTGCAAGAAGATCAAATGAAACCCTAAAGAAGATAGTTTTTTAATTAGAATATTGTGTGAAACTTTACCAAAGGCAAAGAAATCTATGTAGACACAATCTACCTAAAATCCAGCGGAGAAAGCAGACATACAATAATCGCTAAAGCCGCTAAGTTTGAAACAGTGGAGCGCCCAGAGACAAACCCATGCTGATTGACATTAATTATTGCTTTTACTGCAAAAAATAATTTATTTTTAACGGAACACTCAAAAATTTTCGAAGCTGTAGAAAGTTTAGAGATAGGCCTRTAATTGGAGACTACATCTTTTCTACCACCTTTAAGAATAGGGGTTAAGTATGTCAATTTCCAGTCAGAAATAAAACTCCCAGAGGAGAGAGACTTATTGAAGTTGAGCATGAGAGGATATACCAAGGCATTTGGCAGCCATTTCATTGCAAATGGTATATGAAATGGCTTTTCTGTGTTTTATTGACTTCGAGTTACAGTGAAGGGTAGCTAAGCCAGTTCGTAAAAAAAAAATATTGCAAATTCAGTTAAACAAAAAACAAAAAAAATTTATATTGTGCTAATCTTAATGAAGTACCTTGTATATACAACTATGGCCGATAATTGCTTCACGGAAGAGTTATGGTAACATTCCTTATTAAGTTAAAGAATTCACTCCTAATAATCATAAAATAATTATTTTTCGCTGCTCTTCTTTCTCTTAAAAACTCTGTATGTATAACTTTTTTCACCTAAAAAGAAGCAAAACACTTTCAAATAGCTGAAAAAGATATTTCCGAAAATGTTAACTCTAAATATTTTAAATAATAATATTATTAATTGGGTAGTCGAAAAAGTATTTTCTTTATTTGTGTTACCAATCACACTGTGTCATGCCATATAGTGTTGGAAAGATGAGATAAGCTTCATTTAAACTAAAAAAAAAAAAAAATATCGATTAAGTTGAAAAAAGTTACAGTGAAAATAATGAAGAAATTCGCTATATTTTAAACTGTTTTTTAGAAAAAAGGAAAGAAAGCCATAACATTGCCAAGGAAATTTACATTTAACATCAAACGATTTTGAACTATTTACAAAAGTCTGGCTATAAAGAGAAGAGTGATGTTTGAGTATCACATGAATTGTCTGTGAAAAATTTAATGGACCTAATGAACATCTGCGATTCTTTGCTCAAACGAAATGAAATCGAACGATTTCAGATGTAAAGTGGATCAATAAATTTCATTATAAATATAAAAAGCAATAAGTTGAAGTTTAATTAGAAATATGAAAAGACTTTTCGACTAACCACTACTAACGCAAGGGGGTGCATGTTCCTCACTTTCCATTCTCAGTATAAATGGCAAAAGAAAATACCATATGAAATCTAAGCTTTTTTGTTGACTGAAAATATAGATAAATATTACACGATGCAACTAAGATGCCTTGTAAAATACATAGCTGCGTATCCCTTTCCATCTTACCTTCCGACGTGTGTTTAATGGCACTAAACAGTCATATTATTGGACAAACTTTTAGTACAATTTTTTAAAGCTACTACTTTATTTTCGCACTGATATTAAGACGTAAGAGAAGAGTCAGCAACATTAACGCAAGCAAGTGTTAAGCAATATTGTTAATAAAAAAAGTAGATATCGTAAAAATTGGCACCAAACACCCTGCACACTTTGCACTCTTTTGTTGATATTGCTGAGAATCGATTTATTTTCCAATTTGCCAAACACTTCTAGTTACATCATATTGACCCAGAATGTTACCGGCTAATGTCTAAGGATGCGCGCTAGTTGGTACTATACATATATACACAATTGGTCAGATAAAAGTTGCCTCATGATCAAATGAAAAATAACATCACTTTTCATAAGTTTACAGGCGAAAGAAAACGATAAAATGAAACCACTCATATTGAAACAAAATTTGAGTTTTGGTTATAAATTGGTTATATATTGGTTAGATCTGACAAATTTATGCCACATATACATATGTAACATGATGCAGTGAATCGTTGGCATTAAAAATTTTTTTTCATGAAACGTTGTTTTCATTTTATATGAAAGTTAAATAAAAATATTGAAGATTGATATTTTTCGTAGGAAATGCATAATAAATCCGTAATATCCATAAGGTATTTAAATACGGCTGATTTCATAAATAAACCTACGCTTTAAAGTATACGCAATATTTATTCTATCCGATATTCTCTTCGGGTTTGATACTTAGACGAATGATTCTCGAAGGAGAAATGTCAGATGTGTCAAAGTCTTTGAACTTTATTCTTTGGATCATCTAAAAAAATGTACAAAGCTTTTTCGGCAAAATCAATTTAGTTTATTCAAAATAGTCTCCTTCTGCTTCAATAAAACTTTTTGCATGTCGAACGAGCGTTTTAGCTCGTTGGCCAGTATGGCCGTCATTATTCCGGGGCAAGCCTTTGGTATGGCCTCTAAATCTGCATAACGCTTTCCTTTCATGGGCAGTTTTCCGAAAAGGGAGAAGTCGCACGGTGCCGTATCATGTGATTTTTGGTCAAATCATCGGTCACAAGCGGCGATCAAATGTTGCATTCCGAGCAATTTTTGGTCGTCAGTCAATTTGTGCGGAACAAATCGTGCTCACACCTTTCGTAAGCCCAAATTTTCGTTAAAAATGCGATAAATCGATGTTTTAGAGATTTTCAATTCCATTTCCGTAAATTTCAATGATGATTTCGGCTAATTTTTGATAAATTCATGCACAGTTTCGATGGAATTTCCGATGATCACGGATTTTGATTGGCCCATATGTTTATCGTCATTTATGTCCTCATGACCACTTTGAAAACGTTAAACCCACTCGTGCACTCTGCTACGAGATAGACGATCGTAAACTCGATCGAACCATAAACTTATTTCATCAATTGAAACGTTTCGGTAAAAGTTTTACCAATTTTAAAGCAAAATTTAATGTTGGCTTTTTGTTGAAAGCTCATTTTCGCACCGACAACACAAACATACTGACACTTACTACGCAATGATGAAGCGTCATGAAATTCTCACTAGACAATCGATAAAGATACCAGATTCTAACGCACCAGTCATATATAGAGACATATAGATGGCGCCAACAGGGGAGGCTAGATTCAAAAAGTTCTGTTTACTTTGAAAAACATCTTGTATTGCTGTCATGCCATACAAACTGAATGATGAAATCATCATCACGAAACTTGACATTAGGTAATCTCCTAAGGACTTATATGAAGTTGGTTTACAAATGGCGAGGCATAGTTAGTAAGCTGATATTAGTTCTATATTCAAGACTTCTGACGACGTTTCCCCGTCTCGTATTTCAATTAAGCGGTTATAAGACTGTATAGGTTTTGAAAAGTTGAATTTTTATTTTCTTATTCAATTCAACAACGCCTCTAGAATATTGTCTTAAATTTTTAAGTTGATCCGAGTAAAAGTTTCGAAGATACAGCCTTGAGAACTTGTGCGCTCGAGGCTGGCTAGGCTAAGTGCGCCGTCTTTCAACGCGTTTTTTTTTCGAAACTGTGTTTTTGAAGGCGTTTGGCAAGCTTTCTCAAGAACTACTCCGATCTTCATGAAATTTTTTACAGATCTTTACAGATACAATTATTATAGACTTGAATGGAGAATCTTTTTCCGATTACAACTATTTGAAAAAAAAAAAATGTTGCGATATTTTCACTGAAATTTTAAATTTATTTTAGAAAACTTTCTACTATTTTTGTGACACAAACTTTCTACTTTTTGTCTAATTTTATTTTATGTGGTATGCCGCATTCCTAGGAGTATCACATATCCACCTAAGTCGTCTAACTCATGTTGACCAAGTTGTGCGCGGCAAACAGCCACAATGCCGGTACCAGCTTTCCACACTGTCATCGCTATTGCTCTGGGTCAAAATTTTTCTTCCACTGGTCGTTTTATTTTCGTCACAACGAGCCAACGCATTGTCTGTCCGTCCATCATTGCCAGCATCCTCAGCACAATTGCTTCGAGTGCTCTCCTCCAGCTGCTCAGTATCGTTGACGTTCGTGATGTTGCTGTTGTTATGAATGTGGGTACTAGTGCTAGGATATACATTGTTTGGGGATTGTTGTGGTAAATATTGGCGGCGGCCAACGCGTCACTCATGCTCGTGTCAGGCATTTACCACAGCGTTCACCTCAAGCGGCATTTCTGCGGATGACGTAGTGGGCGCAGCCGCGAGAGCAGCTGTTGCCAGTGCTCTGGCCTTGGTGTTGCGCAATTCCTGCTTATTGCCGGCTGCTTGACGTTTCACACCATAAATTCCATAGATGTCATCAACGCCATTGTTGCTCATACCGTCGCCGCCGCTGCTGTTGTTGCCGCTACCAATATGTTGGCCGTCGATTGCATCAATGGCATCACTCGCAGCTCCCGTTGGTGTTGATGTCAAAATGTTACTTGTTGGAATTTTCAGAAGCGATTTCAGTTTGGTCGCTTGGAATTTATACTGAAGTGTGGCGGCATGAAAGAAAAGCACAAAAGCACACGAGAGAGAAGAAAGAAGAAACAAGAAGGGCAAAATTGTAGAAGAAGCTAAATGGGAAATACTTATGAGCATGATAGTGATGACTCTACTTAAAGTTGGTGTCTGCAAGCACAATCATATAACCAAACACTCACACAACCACATATACGTGCACGTGCTGCTTGCATACCCTTGCACTAGAGACTAGCCGTCGCAGCGTGAGTGACAGTGTGAAATACATAAAACAACAACTATTCACATTGAAAATGAAACAACAACAGGCTGGAACATCTGCGCAAAATGTCTAGCACTTTAAGTGAAAAATTGCTAATATAATAAGAAGTGCTTTTGTGGCAGCATGGCGCTTTTTAATTTTAGTTGTAAGCGCTGCAATACAAAGACACACACACACACACACACACATAATGAGAAGAACTAAAAAAGTCCAAGTCAGGCTGAAAGCGCAAAACACTTAATAAATGTTTATATTCAACACTTACATACACACATATAAAGTTTTGAAATGTTTCAAACAGTGCTCAAGCTTAAGAACTTGCAGCATTTTTAAGGTCAATTTCAATTTTATCACATCGCCGATTTATTTGTTAATAGGAAATAGCAAGTCAGTAACGGTACAATCTTTGTGAGACATCCTTCCTAGTTTAAGTGAGATGAACTACAATTCATTAGTTATATTTTCGATAGCAGAAGTGCTCAAAGCGAGTTTAGGCAAAGTTACAAAGGCGACAAAAACAGAAATCAAGAAAGCAGTACGATCACGAATGAAAATAAGATAATAGTTACAATGCTATAATTGGTGCTCACACCTCACACATGTTCTACGCATTTTTTGAGCTGGGTTAAGATTAATAATAGTTTTTTACCAAATCACAATATATTAGGTTTGTTAGAAAAATGAAAATCATTATAAGTAGTATATGGGAGTTGGGGTAGTATCGACCGGATTTAATCTATTATCTATTACCATGCCACATACTGAGCACATGTTCCCAGGGTTTCATTAACGTACTTCACATACAATCACCAATCATATGTAGTAAGGTCAGCCGGATGATTCTGATATTAGCTATACAAGTATGGGGGCTAGGTCAAGTTTTCGCTCAAATCTATTTTTTTTCAGGCACACTGATATACCGTTGTAAAGAAAAAACACTCTATAATTTTCATTGAGATAACACAATATATGCGGTATAAAATCACCTGGAATTTCGAACATCTTTATATTAGGCATATGGTAGCTCAGACCTTATTCAACTGATTTTTGATATACAGAAATACTATTGTCAGAAAAGGTTTCTGTCTGAAAGCAATTGTATATCTCACATATTTACAGATATTTTTGCCAAAAAGTCAACTATAGATACTGGGGTCCACATATTCAGTACTTAGGGGCATAAACAGTTTATGTTGGATTTGGACAATTTACTTTATATAATTTATAGGAATTATTAGTGCAAAATTTGATTCCGTTATATTGGTTGCTTCCTGTTTTGTTTAGTAGAAAGTGAAAGAATCAAATGGAATTTTCCATTTTCGCACTGTGACATAAGTCACAATCGAAATATCGAATAATAGTCGAAATCGTTTGGTCGTGTCTGAAGTTATGTGATTTCACCAAAAAGTCGGCGGTGTCAAGCCCATCGTTCAATTCTTACACCGGCTCTCCTAAAACCTTCTCATACCATTTTGTCTCTGATGTTATTAGTTATTGATTTATAGCGCTTTTAGTAGTTTTTCACCGCATCGTTATATGAGAATTATCATCCGTTTTCATCCATTTTCACACTGTCGGTAGCAGTTTTATAAGCTTTAGTGATTTAGGTGATATGTACATTAAACGTATTACAGGACGGTGCCACGCTCGCTTTTTCAAAAAATTTTGCCAACAGGTGCTCCTTGCTATTGTAATCTACTGTACCAAATTACAGTTTTATATCTCAATTTGGTTATTTTAAGTGGTACGTACAACCGTTAGATGAGCGAACCTATTATAATCTATATAAACATGTTGCAGGAGTATAAAAAAATCAGGAACTGAAAAGTTCGGCGAAAGCGGAGCATTTGATCATCTGATCAAAAATGACCCGGACTGGTCCCACAAATTTCTCGTAGAACGGTGTAAGCCTCTTTTATACTCGTGTGAAGTTTAATCATTATTTCTAAAACAAATATGTAGAAAATTGTATTAAGTATTTGTTTGATTAAATTAGCTGAAAATAAGAGTATATTGAAGGCGATAGATTTGTATTAAAATATATGAAAATATAATTTTCGCTTTTTTCAGTCCAAGTCACCTTTGATTAGAAGGTATATTGAATATATGGTGGCAATTATTTTAATGTGAAGACCCAGCATCTTTTTTCTTAATAATAATTAATAAAACTTGGAGATATCTCGACTTACAGTCCACAAAAGTAAAACATACTCAATTAAAGAATCCCTTAATCAAAAATACAGATTTTATCAGAATATGTTCCGGAAAATGAAGCTTAGAAAAGTTAAGTGTTGATAGTGGCAAATTGCCTAGGTAAGCATAAAGCATCAAATTGTGAAGAAATATTATTACATAGCTTTAAAAAAGACCGTAAAAAAAAGTGTAAAGCAAAACCCCATAAAAGATATTTCATTACGATATATTTGTTTTTGTTTGTCTCTCTGTTTAGTGCGATGCATCCTATTTTCCACAAGTAAACTAATACTACATATGTATATACATCTGTTAATTGATTTTGTTTTCATCTAATTCTTGCAACATAACATTAAAATTCGGATTTAAAAACAAACGAGAGAAAATCTTACAAAATCACTAATAATTAATGAATTGTGAGCACAGCTACATGCAAAATTTATCTCATATCTAGGGCAACAAAATCACTGTAGACAAGTGCATTAATTTCGAGGAAAATTTATAATATATTTTCGTTTAATTGAGCACATACATATGTATAAGCTAAATATTTTTTGCATTTCAAATATCGTATTAACTACTTTCTACAAAAGCAATCGATATGCATTTTCAGTACAAAGTATAAAATTCTCAATTTAATAAAACGAAATTGTGAAATTTAATCGTTTTTATTGCACTATTTCAAAAATATAATATTTCTACATACGGTATGTATATGCTAAGCAATATGCAGAACATTTGTAAATTTCAACAATACATGGTAATACTTTATGGTAAAAGACTCGATACTGTAGTGGTGAGGTAAAGGTTACGTTTCATATGATATTAAATACTTTCTTAATGGGAAATGATTCAAAGCAATATTAAAAGTATTTTTTGAAATTTTAATAAAATATTTTGTAGACTTTACAGGAGAGGAAGTCCCGTTTTAGCTCCGTTGGCGATCGCGTGTAACTCAAAAATATTTAATATTTTTCTTCAAAAATTTTCCCGTATATTCTTAAAACATGTATAAGTATACCCCTAACTTTAAACAGTAGTTTTTCTATTACTAAAAATCACTTTAAACTGTGACGCTAGGTGAGCTCCTTAAAATAAAAATATGCTACTCATACGCCATGCCGCACAATTAAAAATTCTTCCTGACCCCAACGAGTGCATTATAATTATTATATAAATGAACGACATAAGCTTCGAAATTTACCGTGTGTACACTAACATATTTGCTTTTTTATGTGCCATGTACTATTTCAACCTTAGCCAAGTTATTAACATAACCATTATCTGACCACTACTGTAGATTTGTGTGCTAAAATTTATATCTGGCACATTGTCAAGTATTACAAGCGCAGGTACAATAATTTCATATATAAATAGGTAAAATTTCAAAGGTACAAACATTTCTAACATGCTCTTCTCTGTATGTGTGTGTGAATCATACTCCTTTAAGGTACATATAAACACACATAGCCGAAATTGCGTGATTTCTACAACTATTAGTGCAACCAGACGATTAAATACTTGTAAATGCATTTGTGTGTATTAAATTACTTTAGAACTAACCCAATCGATAAGCATTCCCCATCGCACACACTACTACAATCAAATTTAAGGAGCCACAACAGACGTAAAATCAAACAGAAAACATTTCATTACAAATTGCAGTTTGCCAACTGGAATGGCAGGCAATTAGAAGTTGACTCAAACAAGCTGCAAACTACGAACTGTTTAAAACACAACTGTAGATATTTATGTAAGTGTGTTTTACGCATACATACGCACTTTGCACTTGTAGAAATACCCAGCCAGCAATTAACGATATTAAAATTAAATTTCTTTGAATTTTTTTTTTTTTAGTTTCTTCCATGTCAACGTTCCGGTCTTGATCATCACGGCACAATACCGCCGCCGGCACATAAACCGCACCAAACCGTAATTTTTTCGGGATGCAGTGGTGATTCATGGTATACGTATAAATGTACTTCCACAGGAATGAAGAATGTCATTGATATCCCAAACCATCTTTGTTTTATTTAAAAACACTTTTGCAGCGCTCTTATTGAAACACTCGCTGTTATAGCCTTGACAGACGGCAGAGTTAATCCGGATTAACTGCGCACTTAATCAGATCCAAATTTATATATAGTTTGAAACTGTCGTAACAGCTGATTGTACTTTTTATAATATTTTCAGTGAAAATGGATAGGAGATGAAAATTGGGTTGTTAGCCGATAACCCTTTTTTATTACAAAAACATATCAACACGTTAATTTTAAAGCTGCATCATAACCTAACAATGAATATTAAAAATTCGAAAAGCAGATGTCAGTGTTGCTTGTTTTTCATTCATAAAAGATTAAAATTCGCCATTTTTAGCAATGTTGTCAACGAAAATGCAGCTAACTCTCTAAAATTTTGAGGATTAAATGGGAGTTAGCAACGAAGTTATCTTCACTAACTCCTGAATTAATCTGGATTAATGCAGATAATCCAGATTAACGCTGGCGTCTGACGGTCACACATTCGTTGAGGCGTTACAAATGTTTAAACCTCAGTCTGTCAAAACAGTAGAGAATCAAAGGAACACATGGCCTGAAAGCCCTAGTAGCTACAGAAGAGCTGAGTAACGCTTACCGAACTCACACGAAACTCATAGATTCAGCTAGAACACAAGTGGACAACGGAGTACCGACTCGACCCTCTCAAGCAAACTCATCTGATTTGCAATTTCCGGCGATTACACTTTGACCAGGCATCCAAAACCAAGTCGAATAACAAAATAGTTGATACCATTGATAAAAAGATCAGCCACTCCTTGCCTGCTGTGATGAGAGCCAGGAAAGAGTAATTTATTGTGTCCGCGAGTTCGCAGCATGACAATCAGAGAGTAAAGAAATCGCCAGTTACTAAAACTATAAAATATATTAAAATAAAACTGTTATCTGGCATAAGTACATTCGAAAGGAATACTAATTGGTTTCAATATAATTACGGATGATTACTAATTGAAACCAAAGTCATACACTCTGGACATCTCTATACTCTATATCGTGGATTAAATGCCTTTCGGAAGGAACTTATGAACTTATCAGTATTCGTTGTCTGTAAAAATTTCTAGCCATATCACAATTATTTCATCTCAATATTTTATAAAAGCAACAACGATGGATGATCGAAGTAGAGGTACTTATTTCAATAGCCTGTTTTTGATAAATCGCACGTAAATCGTGTCAAGCTATCATGTTATTTTTGTTCAGTATTGTTTGGCATTTCAACATCAAAAGACTTACGCCTTAACAACGTTTACAAATCGTTCAACTTTATTACGAAAATTCGCGTTCTATGAAGAATGAATTTCGCGTGCATCACTCAACTCAACCTCCCCAAGCGACATGGCGCCATAAGCTCTTCAGAAGAAATTTTGTTCAGCGATGAGATTCATTTTTGACTTAATCGGTATGTAAACAAGCAAAATTGAAGCATTTGAGACGAAGAATCTAAACTGATTCAAGAGCAATCTTTCGTTCAGAAAAAACAACGGTTTGGCGTGGTTTGCGGGCCGGTGTAATCATCGTCAGTCTATAGATTTTGGTGACCAAATAATTTCATGTTTTGGGCCGGTCGATTGGCCACCAAGATCGTCTGATCATACATTTGGACTTTTTCCTTTGAACATATATAAAGTTTAAAGTTGAAATGTTCGAACGAGTTATCGAAAATTGGTCTCAATGGATGGATCAACAGAGACGTAGCCGCGGCCAACATTTGAAAGAGAAAATAAATGCCGAAGAATGTTCTTTCGAATGATAAGAATCATTTTTCATTAAACTTAAAGTTTCTGTGTTTTTTCTTTAAAAAAGTAAGGAATCTCGAAATGGATCACACATATGAAATAGTTACATATTATATAAACAATAAATGCAAGTATGGGTGAGTATTCTGAAATCGAATAAAGAATAATTTTGCTAGCTGGGTAATTATAACAACAGCAGACTCTAATAACGGCAAATGCTATATTAACGTCAACTACAACCAAAGAATGTACAAACTATGCATTTAGCAGCTGTCAATTTCATTTACAGCTTACGTAAGCGATTATAAGTAAGTAACAAATAAGCAACAACTATCATAGCTATCATTAAGCAAAAAATGTCACAAGTGTACCATTACATACATTTGTACATATTTATGATGTACATAGTTACAAACTGGGAGACAAATGCACAAAGTTAACAACTGCCAAATACCGCTATCAGTTCTAGCACCATAGCAAATGAAATAGCAGCCTCAAGAAATTACTTCGTCAACGCCAATTCCGCACCGCATAAGCCCATTGTGCTTTTTGCAATTGTCTCAAACTTACTTCGGTCGGTAGGAGGAGATCCTGCGAGGAGCTAACGAAGCGTGTAAATTGTTCCGTGGCAAGCGCAACGCGTCCGGTCTCGTAACAAAAGAGCGCAAAGTTCAAATGCACAAGTGGATTACGTCCGGCAGCCGCTGGTTGTTGCTGTTGTATTTCACTCGACCGCTGAAATGCCTTGAACGCATTCTCAGTATCCTCCAACTTACGTAAACAGACTATAATTGGTCGCCGAATCGATTTGTAGACAAGAGTCAAATAGCGGGCGTTTGGTTGTCGATAGTTTGGAGCCATTGAAGAGCGAGTTTTTGCCATCAGGCACATACGTGCAAGTGCATTGAAAAGTAGGAAAGAAAATCAGTAATTAGAGAAATGTGAGAAAATAGTTGATGGTAACGTTCAAGTTAAGTCGAGTGCAAAATGTCACAAAAGCTTGTTTTTGAAAAGTTAGTTCCGTATAACTTTCATGACGCAAAGTTGAATTAAGTTAGTTGTGGATATATGAAAGAATGTTTTGTGGAAATAATTTGGAAATTAATACTTATGTACGGGAGTCAATTGATACGTCAGCCGCAGCAATATTCTCGACACTACATGCATTTCTTTGTCTCACTGGCTGTGGATTCAAATTGCTCAATTGTTGATCTGAGTGGGCGATTATGACGACCATAAATTGGACGTAGTACTCTTAAAGTTGAGGCCACCGAATTTCGGTAGCAAATTTTAATAATTTCGACTCGTTGTTGGATCGTATATCTTTCCATAATGAAATGGCAAACTTTAGTGAAGAAAAATGTCGAAAGAGCGGGAAAATTATGCTGTTTCTATCGGTCTATTTTTGTAGCATCCCTATTGAAAAAGCAGTTACATCTCGCGTTGTTGATAGATTGCCAAAAACAACTATTGTAAAGATTGCGCAGATACGTGATTTCTGAAAATCACCACTTCAACGCCATCTTGCGGCCAACGCAATTCAAATAGGGCGCTTAAAGGATTAACCACCAAAATTCTATCGAAAATCCTTTTAAAAAAGTTCCACGAAAGTTCTTGAAATTTCCCACAATATGCTGCTTAAAGGGTATACTCGCAGCTACCGTTGATGAGTAGCAAAAGTTTAACTTTTCTCAGAATTTTTCCTTACCATTTTGGCGCAAACGGCTTTCTCCTACTACTAAGTGCATTCCTAAGTGCATACTTAATGCGAAAGGAAGCAAGATGATGGTGGGTGGGTTAATTCGCAGCCACAATTAACACTTATATAACAAAAACGGAGGTTAAAGGACTTCCGCCTGGCGGTCATAATAAGTACTTGTGAGTTAAGTAGTATATGTGTGCGTTGGTACGTGTGTATTGAAAATGCGCTTAAGCTGTTGTGGCTGCTGTTGGCCGAACTGATAATTACGGCAACGACAAAAGGTCAGGCCCCACAACCCCACCCATGGAAGCGCATGCTCAGCTGTTGCAGTGCGACCGCTTAACTTAAATCATTTTCTGACAGGTTTTATGCGAGCATGGCCCCAACCACCGCACGCAAGTGTAGTTATGAACTTTCTAAAAGTCAAGTAATGGCGTGAGCAGGAGTGTCTGCATGGATTTGTCAAAGTATGTGAAATAGTGGCAACTTACTTCCGAGTAGCATGTAGCATTCAGCGCTGTCCTTGCGCAAGTTGATGGCCGCGGCGAGTGTGTGAAAGGCACTCGCATATTGTTGTGCTGCAATGATAAAAATAAAGCTTTAAGTATTGTGTATGCAAGGATAAAGCTCTTGTTGATTTCTGGATGTTGGCGTCTGCTTAAGCGTTTGTTTACAATTAACTTAGTGATGGCTAATCTCATTGACAAGTATACTTAACTAATGACTAGCATGTTCAGGCGACACGGCAACATTTGATGTCTTAAATTATATGTTTATTTTTGTTGCTGTGGCATAATTAATGAGGCTTAGCTCCTGAGTTTCGCTGATTCCTTTTTTTTAATATAAGGCCGTCTCCTTTCGATTGCATAAATCAGGTTAATATAAAAAAAGTGGTGATCGAAAAATTTATTCCCAGATTTGTTTTCTTCTTCTTCTTAAATCAAAATTAGTGGTCAGACATAGTTGTCAGCTTTGCACCAACTTTATTTGGTAGTCCTAAACTCAAATTTTAAGGGGAAACTGCAATTTTGTGCGTTTTATGAATGTGACGAACATTTTTCACCAAAATAGATATAAACAAAATTTCAATGTAACCAAACTCTTCTGTAAAAATATTTTAACGCCATTGTAAACGTGTGACAGTGGTGTAGTGATAAAAAATTGGATTGAATGTTTTTTTATTACGAAGATCACTTACCCATGAGATTAACGGAGAATATTAAAAGGGTATTATATTACCACTACGAATATTCAGTCCTCAGCCGGTTGTAGTAGACTCAAGAAAGCGTAAAAGGCTTGTCTCAACTGGCCGAAGCCTGGATATACGCAGTGGCAATACAATACCCCTCTACTCTTCCCATCGCTATGTTCCAATCTAAAATAAATGAGAAATCTAGTTTGGATTCATCCCTTCCAATGTGCAGAAGTTATGCAAGTGAAGAAAGTTGTCTGACCGTCATTCAGTTGGGAATGAGCAGAAACAATTATTTTACACATGGCTCAAGCAGCTCAAAACTTCCGGTCTTAAACGAAGTATCCTCTGGGTAACCCAAAAGCATCCGTTTGAGGGCGAGATAAAGTGAGAAGGCGAAACATTACTCAGCAGCGATGTGTACTGGGTTTTAGGACCCGCCAGGTAAAGCCTCAATAACCGTGCTGTTAGTTCTGCTTTCTCCAGACAGAAGAAAGCAAAGCAAATGGGTCTGCTAGTGAACGAGGGCAAGACGAAATATTTTTTGTCCTCAAACAAAAAGACGTCTCACTCGCGACTTGGCTCCCACGTCATTGTTGACAGTCATAACTTCGAAGTCGTAGATAATTTCGACTACTTTAAAACCAGCATTAACACAACAACAAAGTCAGCCTCGAAATCCAACGCAGAATAACTCTTGCCGACAAGTGGTACTTCGGACTGAGTAGGCAATTGAGATGTAAAGTCCTCGCTCGACGAGGAAAGATCAAACTTTACAAGACACTCATTATCCCCGTCATGCTATATGGTGTAGAGGCATGGACGACCGATGACAACATCTGATAAGTCGACGTTACGACTTTTCGACAAAAGGATCATGCAGAAGATTTATGATCCTTCGCGCTTTGGCAACGGTGAATACTGTCTGAAAGTATTCGACGCAGTACCCGCAGGGGTAAAAAGAGAAAGAGAAAGAACTCCACTTCGTTAGAAAAACCGGGTGGAGAAGGACCTGGTTACAGCGAAAAAGAATAACGACTGGCGCGCTGTTGTAAACTCAACTATAACGGCGTAAACGGTATCTACGTCAATAAAGAAGGATTGTGGACATTGCCGCTGAAGCACACTTTACAACGAATCAACCAATTATCCAATGATTAAAGAAGAGAGTTAAATAAAACCATTTTTTTCCAATTTTAGACTGCCTATTTAGTAGGGAAGAATAGAAAAAAATAATAAGTTTCAGTATACCTACTCAATAGTGTAAAAAATTAAAAAAATAACTACTGATGCGATTTCTCCAACTCGAACGTTTCATAAAATAAATGAGCTCATGAAAATAATTGAGGTAAAACAAGTCATAAAGCTAAGTGACTTATTTTTTTATAGAAATCCCAACACTCCTTCATTATTGCGATTTTCGATTATAACATCACTGGCAATCAGGTATTCTATCCTTCTTGATAACCCAATTGAACTTAAAATAATAAGATCAAATCGAGATCATCTCGTGTTGAAAAAAATAGTAAGACTTTCTAATTTAAATTACGAGCGAAAACCTATTCGTCGAAATATTTTTTTTTCTAGATTGGTATAACTGTCAGTGACATCTGTGTCAAATGTCTATATGAAGCGCATACGGCGTTTTTTGCGATTAGTCAATTTATTTAACAAAGAAGTTCCATTAAATTTTGTGGAATCAAATGTCTGGTGCCAAAGGTTTAGATTGTTCGAAAAAGATTTCGATGATAATTTTTGTCGTGAGCAAACGAGGGTCGAGAACGCGTTAACGACGAATCAAGTCCAGAACGGCCATCAACAGCAACTGATGATCAACACATCAATAAGATAAAGGAATTAGTGCTTGAGAGTCCTGAGTTTTTCGCCAAATATCGTGTCGCAAAACTCCGTTTTCGCCGGATTTAGCTCCGTGTGTCTTCTGGGTATTCAGCAAACTCAAAGGACCATCCGAGAAACCGATTTGAGCCAATTGGAGACATTAAACATGAAGGCTATTCAGGAAATTGACTTTAACAACTGTTTCAAGGATTGGAAAAAAGGTGAACTCAAGTGTATTAGGGCCAAGGAGGATTAATTTGAGGGGTACGTCATAGTTCTTGAAGAAAAATTAAGAACTTTCAAATTATAATTAAAGACTTACTGTATGTTTATGTATATTTTGCCCATATTGTGTCTGTATGGCCGCTATTTGTTTGCCACAGAAAGGGTTTGCCTGAGGATTTTTATCATGGAAAATATAACTGAAATTGTTTGCTTAAAATTTTGTGTTTCCAATGGAATCACGGCTACAGAATCATCGAAATGTTTTGGAAGGTTTACTTTATCGCGAGCACAAGTGTCTGGCATTGGCACAGAGCATTCGACGATAACCCCGAAAAATTTAAAGAAACAGAAAGATATCAGGAGACCTCACGTCTCTTATAGATCAGCTCAACACATTTTGGTTAATGTTTTGAGGTATGAAGAGCGTTAATGCTAGACTCATATCAAAAGACCTAAATCTTTTGCAAAACCGACCTCCAATAAAGAAGTTGCTCAGCTGCGTTGAGAACCCTACACTCATTAAAAGCGTCATTACTGTTGACAAGGCCTAGATTTGTGAATACGACGGCAAAACTGTTGGCTCAGAGACCTATTTTAATGGCGATAATAATTTTTTAAAATATTCTATTAAAATACGTAAAAGTAATTTTGTTTTTCAGTATGAGTCAAATTTGATTAAATGTCATTTTATTCATGCCAACGATGGTTCGATTCGTCATCGCGCTACTCGCCTTTTGACGAATCGAAGAGAGCTATTCTGTAGTGGGCTTGTTTGCTAATTGTGTTGTCAAAATTTCCCAATTAAAACGAACGAAAACACGCGAATTGATTTCCCAACACATACATCATGTATACAAGTTATATATATATTTATGTCGACATATGTATGATTGAGTGATGGTGTATACTAAAAAAGGCTGTGAACCCAACACAAATTGAACGCAGAAATGTCATTGACATTTAGCATTGTCCTGAAGATACTTCATAAACTTTACTATCACCTCTAAAATGAATGGGTTTAGAGAGAAGCGTTCAAAACAAAACGGAATGTTTGTAAACTTGCGAAAGTGTTGAGGTTTTCAAATCAATGCACTTAATAGTGTCAAAAGGTTAAGTTTGGTTAACAAATCCATAACAGTATTATGTATGTCCATATTTATAACGAGTTCATCCCTTTTTGAGTTGAAGTGCAAAAATGGGAAATGAACTCGCCAGGGATGTATTAAAGTGAATGGAGTATGTTTAAAATCAATTTTATATAACTATTTGTTTGTACATATCTATATATGAAAGCATTTCTACTAACACATACGTAAGCATATATATAATATTATAATACTTATATACTATCTGTATTCTTTCACTTTAATTTGCTAATAATTTTGCTAGAAGCTTATGCAAGGGCAGATATTCACTAAACGTATAGGACTATAATTCCACAAAAATAGGAAATACAAAACTTTCCATGTATTTATGAATGTGTAGGTTCACTTGCACTTCAATATTTTAATCGGAATCATATGAAAATTTCCAGCAGAACTAACAGGGGATATTTGATGCTATTGACATTCACAACCTTTCTTGTTGACAATGTCATTGATGAAACTGTTTCAATATAAAATGCTACTTATAAAGAGAATTCTATATATAAATAACTGTAAATATTGAAGGATGAAGAAAATACAAAGAGTTATTAAAAACAAGAAAACACTTCGACTGCACCGAATTGCATTGTATTTACTGCACCGAATTGTATTTTTTACACGTACTATATATAGGGTTGACAAAGAGGTCTTGCGGTATTGTTATTGAATTTTCAATTGTTCATAAAATGTTTTTTGATGACTCATGCCCAGCTCTTGACCAATGCTACGGCTGCTACTATGCCGGTCCCTTTCGTTAAATTCAGCTATTTTATCGCAATTTTCGACGACAGGTCTTCCGGAGCGTGGCGCATCTTCGACCACCGGGGGGGAAATGGAAACTGTATCGGGTCCATAAACTGCACAAATTTTATTGGCGGCTTGAGATGCATTTTTGCCTTTATCGTAGTGGTACTGTAAAATATGGCGTATTTTCTCTTTATTTTGCTCCATGTTTGCGACGCTATAACTCACGAACGGCTTAAAAGAAACGACAATCAATCAAACATGTGTTAGCGCGTGAAATGAGCTTTCCAAAAAGGTATAGCATGACCCGATGCTAAAACTAGAACTACGCGCTCTCAGCGCCGACTAGCGAAAATACCGCAAGACTTTTTTGACAATCAATATGTACTGGCCAACTGTTTGCTTCGAAGAAAACCGTTTTTCTAGTTCTTACTAACCACGTTGTTTGATAGAAACCACCTTCAAGTCGTATTAAGGTTACTTAATAAGGAAAAAATATCCCTTACAAAGATTTTCATCTTAAATGGTTATTTTATATGGGTGTTATATACTATAGTGGTCTGTTCTGAGAAAAATATTTGAATATTGTAGCATTGCATAATATTAAAAAAGTTTTGTCAAGTCCGATCGTCATTTCCGATCGCTCAAGTACCACGGATTACACAAAAACGGTTTGGTGATGAAAAGTGGATCACTTACGACAACGTCAAGAGAAAATGGTCATGGTCGGGGTGAGCCGACTGCTGTATTTAATTGTATTAACAGAGAATATTTTATTATGAGCTGCTCTCCCACTGCCGAACACTTAATTCGGATCTTTACTGTCTGAAGTAAACAATCGCCTAGGAGAGCTAACTTTGGCCAATAGGAGAGGAATTGTTTTCCATTAGAACCCCAGATCATACACCTAAATAGTGACTCCCCAAAATCTCCGGCTGCTTGGTTGGAATATTTTTATCCACCTTAGGTTGAATACTACTTTGTATATTTCTCCTAACTAATAAATAAATATGTTTTTTCCAACTAACGGTTTTACGTATCACCTAAAACTAAGAACGAAATATATATAGGGTTATTTATACATAAATGATCAGGATGATAAACGGAACTGAAATCGGGGTGACTGTCTGTCTGTTCGTCGTTCCGTCCGTGTGTCCGTGCAATTGGTAACTTGAGTAAAAATTGAGATATCATGATGAAACTTGGTATACTTATTCCTTGGCAAAAATATGTGAACACCGTAGCTATAGTTAACTTTTGTCGGAAAATATAGGTCAAAGTGTGAGATATGTAATTGAAAATAGAAAAGAATCCTTTCTTGACAATAGTAAATGTGTGTATCAAAAATAAGTTAAATCGGGTCAATGTTCCCCTGAGCCCCCATATACGTAATATAACGATTTTCGAACTTCCGGCTGTATAAGGTGCATATGTGTATCGGCCAATATATGAGTTATCTCAATGAAAATGTGAGAGCTTGTTTTACTCAGCACAGTGTATCTTTGTGCCTAAAATGGAAACAATTAGGTGAAAACTTAACCTAACTTGACCTATATGTAAGGTTCTTTATGAAACCCGAGGAACATATTTTGTGTAACAGGTAAATTCAAGTAAATATTAACCCCCACTCCCATATGTTTCTGAAGGAATTTTTCGGACTTTGACTCTTGCAAGTTGCCAGAGTATAAAATATTCGGTGAGTTGTGAGTAGATTAAACGAACAAATAATAAAACAAAGTAAAAATTAAATAAATTTATGAATAGTATGAAATTGGTGGTGGAAAATATAAAAAATCGTAAAATTTTTTAATTCGACCTGCTATTACCATAAACCAAGTAAATTATCATGATATGAACAATTTGTCTTGATCCCTGCCAAATTGTATGAAGAAAAAAGTAAGGAAGGGCTAAGTTTGGGTGTCACCGATAAAGTGATAATCGAGATTTCAGGCGTGGTTGTGAACCGATTTCACCCATATTTGGTACATGTCATCAGGGTGTTAAGAAAATATTATATACC